GAAGACTTGAATAACACTACTAATTAACTTGGCCTCATTGGCATTAGTTGAAGACTCTAGCCAATAACAGCAAAATCCACAGTTTAATGTTCATGCACATGGAACATTTACTAAATGTTCATACACATGGAACATTTACTAAGCATAGTCTAGTCTAGGGGTCGGCAAACTTTTGAGATGGAAGAGCCAATCCTGTCCCTAACAACAATTTAAAAATTATTTGAGAGCCATAAATATATTTTGACAAACAAATCAAACAGTAATTTTTTTTCTTTTTTAACATTTTATTAGGGGCTCATACAACTGTTATCCCAATCCATACACACATCAATTGTGTAAAGCGCATTTGTACATCATTTCTCAAAACATTTTCTCTCCATTTAAACCCCCAACATTAGGTCCTCATTTTTCCCCTCCCTCCCCGCTCCCCCCTCCCGCATGAGCCCTTGATAGTTTATAAATGGGTATTTTGTCATATCTTGCCCTGTCCGACGTCTCCCTTCATCCACTTTTCGGTTGTCTGTCTCCCAGGGAGGAGGTCACACACAGTTCCATGTAATCGGTTCCCTCTTTCCTAACCATTCTCCCTTTACCCTCCCTGTTTTGCCACTCACACCACTGGTCCTATAGGGCTCATCCGTCCTGGATTCCCTGTATTTTCAGTTCCTATCTGTACCAGTCAATTTTACTTTAGAGCCACATGTACACACTGAAACAGCTGTATATGGCTCAAGAGCCTCAGCTTGCCAACCTTTGGCTTAGGCCCTAAAATATTTCAGTATTTTGAAGGTGATTCAGATCTTATAAAGCATATCTTATGATTGTAATGGAATTACTCTGACTAAAATGGAATTATATTAGAAACAACAAAAGGCATCCAGAAAAAGATCTCTAAATGTTTGTAAATTTTATAGCATTAAACAATCCACATACCTAGGTAAGAGGATGTGGGGAGAGAACAGAAATCACTGAGATAGAAAGCAAAAAAGCCAGAGAAAAATCAGTAAATCCGAGAACAGTTTATTTAAAGACAAATTAAATTGATAAACTTTAGCCAGATGGATGCACAGATATAAATAACACAAACCAAAAAATAAACAAGAAGACACATTACCAAGTCAGGACTGAAGAAGTGGCACTACCATGGGGACTATTATGAGATACTATGAACACCTTTAGGTCAACAAATTTGACAATTGAAATGGACAAATATCTTGAGAAATATATGAACTATGAAACTCAATAATCTAGTTAATCCTGGTGGCATAGCCAGTTACTGTCAGAGGAAACCAGCCTTCAACAACCGAAGGGCCAGTAGGTGCAATGTGCGGTGATAATATATAAAGATTATAGTAAAGCCATAGAGGATAAGAAAGATAGGAGAGTAAAATAAAGGAGTCAGACACATTGTTTGGTAGCATGCTCACTTCAGCTCTTCTTGATGGACCACGCATGTGGAACTGGGAGACGTGAGAGAGAACCTTTACTATCTGGGGACATTTATGGGCAGCCATAAGACACGCAAATTCAGTAGATACATGCGTCACAAGGTGGGTGGTAACTACATTAAGATCCCTGAGCTCACAGGTGAGGAACCTAATACCTGCATTGGGGGAAGGTATCAGAGCGGTTGGGTGACACGGCGGGAAGAGAGAGCAAAAGTATGTCTGCTTTTATAGTTAAAGCTGCGGGCTACATAACAATCAGCCATATGCTTGTAAGAGGTAACTACGGTAGCATCATTATGGGAGGGTATAGTGGGGAACAATATTGTGAGAATTTGATTGGGATTCACCTTCAACTCACAAGGGAGAAGGCCTCCCTTCACCCGATAAACCCAGCCTGCCAGCCTCCTCAGTATGTAAGACTAACAGATTCATCCATGTACACTCTCTTCCTGCTCCCTACAGGTTACATGTTGGGCTACTAAACACAGGTCAGCAGTTTGAAACCAGTAGGTGCTCTGCAGGGCCAAGATGAGGCTTTCTGCACCCTTAGAGATCTACAGCCTCAGAAACACATAGTGGGCACTG